CAAGGAAAATGTAGAGTGAAAACACAATGAGATCATTTTACTGCTGTGAGAATCACATCCATCAAACAGACTAACAAATTGGTGGAGGAATATGGAGAAAGAGAAACTTCAGTCAGTAGCTGCAATTGGTGTGATCATTTTGAAAAATGTCCTGGATTTAGATTAAAATACTATAAATGGAAATATCATAAAGTGATTCCACTTTTGGGTATCAATACAAAGAAACATGCAGTTATCAGCTCAAAAAGTTATATGCTCCACAGGGTTTATTCAGATGCAAATTACAGAAGACCTAGATTAACACAATTTTAAAAAGGGGATTTATAGTATTGTATAATGAAAAGCCAACTACACAATGACTGATGTGGACATGTGTAAAGTTGTCACGTCTGATTCTTAACTTGTCCTGAAAAGTTTAACACAGCAATGAGATTGGCTTTAATTTATGTTTGCTTGACAGAACAGCTTATACTATATTAATAGACTTGTTTTCAAGTGTTGTTCCTTTCTCACAGCCACATGTGTTTTTTTTTTTTTCTTCTTTTTCTGTTTAAAAAAAATTGAAGAGAAGGAAACCTGCTAAACTAGTATATGTGATACGTTAGTCATGGTACTCTTCTGCTTTTTCTTCCTTATTTGCTCCGCAAAGTTTTGCAAAGTGCAGATCTAATCTGAACTTTCTTTTGGAGAAACAAATTAAGCAACAATTTTATAAGAATTTCCTAAGCAAAGCGAAAATTAGTGAGCATTAAAAAATAAATGAAAGTGACAAAATCCTTTTTTTTTTTTTTTTAAGATTTATTTATTTATGCATACAGAACTGAGGTACAGGCCAGAGGTGCAGGGGCGGTGAGAGGCTTCACCAGAGACAGAGTGGGGAGCAGAACAGGCAGATCAACGAAGTACACTGCTGAGGGGAGCAGCGGGCGGGTCAGGAGAGGTCTGCCACGACATGTGGTCTCCTCCGGGGCAGGCGGGAATCGAACTCATGCGGAAGTGGCTTTAGCTTCTCAGTGCTGTGCTTTAACCCGCTGCGCCACCAGGGAGGGCCGACAAAATCCTTTTTTAAAAAATATTTATTTATTTATGCATACAGAACTGGGGTACAGGCTAGAGGTGCAGGGGCGGTGAGAGGATTCACCAGAGACAGAGTGGGGAGCAGAACAGGCCGACTGACAAAAGTACACTGCTGAGGGGAGCAGCAGGTGGGTCAGGAGAGGTCTGCCACACCTGTGGATCACCTCCAGGGCGGGGATCAACTCATGCTGAAGAGGCTTTAGCTTCTTAGTGCTGTGCTTTAACCAGCTGCGCCACCAGGGAGGGCCCAACAGAATCATTTTTAAAAATGAGCTTAAGATAAAGCTAGATTCAGGAGAGATCTAGCTTTAAAATTTTTAATTAGAAAGAAATCAAACTAGTGAATGAGTTATCTTTCAAGAAACTAGTAAAATAATCCAAAAGAAAAAGTAAAAATAATTTGAAGGGAACAAAAAATAAGTTATAGCATATTTTGAAAGAAACTGTTAAAGCAGGAGAAAGTAAAAAAGGAAGGGAAAGGAAAAGAGGTGAGGAGAGAAGGAAAAGAAAGAAAATTGTGGTAAGTAAGCTGGCTGTCATTATTTCCCTGGAGTCTTAAACTGCTATTTATTTCTGTCTGTTGCTTTCTTTCTACTGTCAATTAATAATAACTATACTGTTTTCTTTTTTACTGTTCAGTTACTTGTTAGATAAACTACACATATCAGATAAGAAATTCTTTGAGGCATCTGCAAGAACAAAAGCAGACACTTTTATTTTTTATTTATATCTTTTACATCATTGTGCATTCCCAGTAAAATTACCACCTCAAATTCACCCGTGAACCATCATTAGAGTCACTTGTGATCTTTTTTCTCCCGTTTTGATTGCTTTTCCTCTCCCACCCTCAAAGAATGTCTCTACTTTATTGCCTGCTAATTTTGTTATTATTATTATTGTTGTTGTTATTTCTCCCTTATTCCTTATTTGGTTCCCCTATATCCCTCCCATAAGTGAAACCATTTGATATTATTGCTCTTTCCTTCTGTCTTATTTCAGTGAATGTGATCCCATCCTTGCTGCTGTGAATGGCATGAGTTTATCTTTTTAAATTGCTGCTTGGTATTCCATTGTGTATATATACCACGTCTTCTCGATCCAGTTATCTATTTTTGGGCATTTTGTTGTTTCCATATCACTTTTAAGAAAATGAAGGAGCATAGTCCAACAAGGTTGTGGCATTTCAGAACTGAAACCCAGCTCTCCATATAGTGTAAGAGAGTCCAAATGTCTACACTAATTGATCAAAGCAAGCTCCATTTACCACTAGTGAGTATACTTCAGTTAGATTCAATTCAGAATTAACAGGCTTCCTTAAAGTCCATGGTTCTCTGAGAGCATTGGTTTCAGACGTGTTGTACTGAAACTCAGCCATGAAGTTTTTGTTTCTCATCTGGACAAATATTGCTGTTAGTACCACTCACCATTTGCAGGAATTGCTCTGGCAATTTCTTTGACAATCCAAAAAAAAAGATAGTGTCCTGGAAAATATAAGCTTAACAAAGAAAAAAGAAGACCTTACATTAAAGTCAGAAAAATCAGCTGAAGGGTACAACTAGACATTTTCATTTTTCATAGAATTCAGTGGAGTTACTTAACAACATATTCATCAAGGTTATATATTAACCAAGATAGAGTATCCAAGAGAAAGAAGTTATAAATTAAGCTGACAAAATTTACTTTAGAAATCATACTTACAAAGTCTACTTCAGAGTCCTTTATTTTACAATCCCTTCTCTTCCTCCAGTCTACTGAACAATGGGCCTTTTAAAAACCTAATTAACTTAGTTACCTTTGCAAAGATTTCCATTATTCACACCAAACACTCCATTTACTACTTAGTGATTAAGATATTTGATTTTCATATCATATTAAATATATAATAAAGCAGAAGGCATATCATTAGAAATATATGAAAGTTTTTGTGGATTTCTTTTTTTTTTCATGAGAAATGTGAATCTACCTTATATTCTGAAATTCTTGAGAATACCATACTGTTCTTCAAATTGATGTTCAACAAATACTTGGCCAGTGACTGATGATGTTGTAATGATGACAAATGTCACAAAACTTGAGAGAATGTGAAAATTCTCTTTTACACAATGAATACGGACACTGAGCTATTATTAGCTGTTCCACTCCTTGATATTGGCACGTGACAAACTGGCTTAATATTGAAGCAAAGGTGGCTGGGAATTTAGATAACAATTAGGTGATTTCAATCCCTGCCAAGATTTCAATCTCTACCAACATAATCAGAATTAGAAAACTCACAGGGGTCCATCATGAACCCAAATTCTGGCATTTTTCTGTATATTTAATAACTTACCTGTATGTAAAAGAATATTTATCCAAGTGGAAGAATACCTGCAACTTTCCCTTGTGATAAACTTTTCCCTTGTGTTTAAGGAAATAGTTTTGGAACTTAAATGGTAAACAAAAATCTAATCATTAATTATGTTTTCAGTAGCAAATTATTTTTTTTTCAGTAGCTCTTCTTATGAAGAACTTGGGGAAATATTCATATTTGAATAATTTGATTCTTGACAAGTTCATCTGAGCTTCCCAACAAATATCTTCCTTTCCCAAAATTCTGTAATCACAAATTTGGAATATTAGATTTTAGTGTCACTGGCATTATGGACACTGAATAATTCAAATTGAAGAGATGCAAGAAATTTTTGTACCCACTTTCATTAAAAGAGCCTAACCAAAATGTATAAATTATGAAACATATTGTTACATGTTAGGAGACAAAGAGGACCAGATAAATCTGTCTTTATTACTTTTCCCTCCAGAAATAGAAGTTTTTCTCCCACAAACAGTTCCTTAACCTGAGTCATACTGCTACTATTGTGTACCAAATCTGGGAATGTTTACAAATGACTAAAAGTGTATTATGTTTTATAACTGCCGGTTAAGTTGTGATTTTATAAGTGCACTGGTGAATTCATGACAACAGACTGGCATATACTCCATTATGGTGCTAAATCAAGTATAGCTCTAGGCTGTCTTGTGCTGTAGGGTGAACAAAGATAGTCAAGAACCAAGTTTTCTATTAATAATAAGAAATTACTATGGCAGAACAAGATAATTAGCTTTGTATCTTTGTTGAGACCATTGACCTCTCTCTACAGTAGTCTTCTAGTTTTTAGTATTTGAATAGTGTCAGTTTCATAAGTCTTCATGAGAATTAAATAATAAAAGCTGTAATGTCATTATTACTTATAATTAATATTACTAAAAACTAATAATTATTAATATTACTAATCTCTAATAAAATAATTCATAATTATTATTACTGTTATTTATTATTTTCTACCTGAAAAAACAAGACTACAGGAGTGCCCCTTAAATAAAAAAATCTCAGGTGATTTCCTCAAGGGGAAAAGCAATTCGTAGGGACCAAATAGGGAAGCTCAATGACTGGTGAAACAGATTCAACCCCACTTTTCAGGGGTAACTGATGTACAGTGCCCAAGTAGAAGTGTCATTGAGTCAACTTGCTGAGTGAACTCTGGTTTGTTGCCTTCATTTTAAAAATCTGCCTTAATTTTGTTATTAGAATGTTTCTACACTATTTGTGTTAGGTTGAAGCACTTTCTCCCAATTATTGCTCAATACGTGTTTACTGAAGGAATGCAAATAAGATTACAGTTGCTGACAGAACTTGTTCAAATTTCCTGTAACTCACTGAACCTTGAACATGTGGTCAGTATGCAGGATTAATATCCTGCAGAGTGAATGAAATTTAAACCTTTTTTTTTTTATACCAACCTTAAAGCTAGTGAAAAACTTTACTCAAAAGTAAGAAAACACGTTTGGGTAGAGCCAAGGCAAACTGGCTAATCAGTAAGCTATTCTGACATTTCAAGGAAGTTCACTTCCTGTGTTTCTGAAGCTTGAGAAGTAGGAACTTAATCATGGGAAGAAAATCACTGTATCTTCTGATGTTGGGGATCTTCGTAGCATATTATATTTATATACCTCTTCCAGATAATTTTGAGGAGCCATGGAGAATGATGTTCACAAATGCCTATCTGAATACAATAAAATATTCGGTAAGTTTGGAATTGTGCTCATTCAGAGGTACATATGCAAAGACGGAGCTGGAAAAGTAAGTCTTACAACAGTTTGCTCTTTTTTCTTTGTTTTGCATCTTTAAAATAAATGCTGCCTCCTTTGTTAATATTTCCTTTGTTTGGAGATATTACTTATTTGTTTTGTTTGCTTTCAAGTTCATATATCAGAGTAATGTTAAAAATATCTAGAAAAGTTTTTAAAGGATAAGCACTAGTTCATCTCTGAACATTTGTTAAAATGCATTTGTGAAACCATCTGGTCCTGGACTTTTATTTTGGGGGAGGGATTTTTTTACTATTTCACTTTCATTGCTTGGAATTGATTTGTTTAGGTGCTCCATTTCTTCTTTATCTAGCTTTGGATAATTGTATAGTTCATCTAGATTGCTGAACTTTTTTGCATATAAATATTCATAGTAATCACTGATTATTCTTTTGATTTCTGCTGTGTCTGTTGTAATTTCTCCTCTTGTTTATGATACTATGTCTTCGGGCTTTCTCCCATTTCTTCTTTGTGAGCCTGGTTAGAGGATTAATAATTTTGTTTACTTTTTCAAGGAACCAACTTTTGGTTTCATTGATCTTTCAAAAATTTTTAAAATCAATTTTATTTATTTCTGCTTTGATTTTTATCATTTCCTTACATCTACTGGCTTTTGGGATATTTTTATTGTTGTTTTCTAGTTCTTTGAGATGGGAGATTGAGTTGTTTCTCTGAGTGCTCTCTTGTTTCTTGTTGTGGGCCTGCTCTGTACTTTCCTCTTATTACTGCTCTTGTGTCCCATTTACTCTGGAAAGTTGCGGCCTCATTGTTGTTAATCACAAGGTATTTTTTTTAATTTCTCCTTTGAGCTCCTCATCAATCCAGTGGTCTTCCAGTAGTGTGGGGTTCAGTCTCCATAAAGTGGGAGGATTCCTTGCTTTCTTTTCATATTTTTTCTCTAGTTTAATACCTTTATTATCAGAGAAGATAGTATGATTTTGTTCTTAATCTGTTGATGTTTGTCTTTTGGCCCAGAATATGATCAACCTGGAAAATGATTGTGTGTATTTGAGAAAAATATGTACTCATGTTTTTTTTTGGTGCAGCGTCCTATAGATGTCTATTAATTAAGCTTAAGAAGTCTAGGTATTTATTTAGGCCTATAGTGTCCTTGTTTATTTTTTGTGTAGTTGATCTGTCCACCGGTGAGAGTGGGATGTTGAAGACTTCTACTATATGACAAGCAACTCAGAAGCATTTTTAAAAACTCATCCCCCAAAGCAAAGATAGTGAAGTAAAAGATGAATAGCTGGGATAACATTACATTAAAAAGCTTCTGTACAGTAAAAGAGGCATTAACCAAAACAAGAGACACCCTACTGATTGGTAGAAATTTTTTAGACTCCATATAACTGATAAATGACTGATTACAACGATCTATAAAGAACTTACATGACTAACAAAAAACAAAGTAAACAATTCAGTAAAAAAAATGGGCAGAAGAGCTAAACAGACACTTCTCCCAAGGAAATGCAAATGTCTTACAGATATCTAAAAATTTCAGCATCATTTTTTTTTAAAGATTTATTTACTTATGCATACAGAAATGGGGTACAGGCCAGAGGTATAGGGGTGGTGAGAGGATTCACCAGAGTCTGAGTGGGGAGCAGAACAGGCTGACTGATGAGGTACACTGCTGAGGGGAGCAGTGGGTGGGTCAGGAGAGGTCTGCTGCACCATGTGGTCACCTCCGGGGCAGGCGGGAATCGAACACATGATGCAGCTTCTCAGTGCTGTGCTTTAACCCACCACGCCACCAGGGAGGGCCTCAGCATCATTTTTAATCAGGAAAATGAAAATCAAAGCTACAATGAGATACCACCTTACACTCATGGGGAATGGCACATATTAAAAAACTGGCAGCAACAAATATTGGCAAAGATGTGGAGAAAAGGGAACTCTCCCACACTGCCTGTGGGAATGCAAACTTTTCCAATCCCTGTGGAAAATTGTATGTAGTTCCTCAAATTACTAAAAATGGAACTACCATGTGACCCAGCAATTCCATTCCTAGGAATCTACCCAAAGAACATAGAAACATTACTTTGAAAGCACCCCTATGTTTATTGAAGCACTATCTAAACCCAAATGCCCAAAATTAGATGACTGGATCAAGAAGCTGTGGTATATAGACACAATAAAATACTACTGAGCAAACAAAAATGATAAATTCATACCATTTACAGCAATAAGGATAGAGCTAGAAATAAGTAAACAATGTCAGGAGGAAGAAGAAAAATGTCACTTGTAGAAGAAAAATAGGGGAATCAAATAAGGGATCAGGAAAAATTTAATAGTAAGTAGAAAAACAAAACTAGCAAGCAAATATAAACCAAAGACATTTTGCAGGGAAGGAAGAGAGAGAGGGACCAAAGCTGGGCAAGAAGAGTATAAGGGACTGTGGTGATGTTTCAAGGGTGAATTGGTGGTGAAAATTTTATGGGGACTTCACCTGAGAAGTGAAATCAAACATTGTATAAAAATGAAAAATGATTTGAAAATATATATATATATAAAGAAATATTTTAAAAGTATCAAGAAGCATAAGCAAGGAGACATTCATGTGACTGTTATTAAAAATGCTGAGTTTAGGCCCTCCCTGGTGGTGCAGCGGGTTAAAGCACTGCACTGAGAAGCTAAGGCCACTTCCGCATGAGTTCGATTCCCGCCTGCCCCGGAGGTGACCACATGGCGTGGCAGACCTCTCCTGACCCGCCCGCTGCTTCCCTCAACAGTGTACTTCGTCCATCTGCCTGTTCTGCTCCCCACTCTGTCTCTGGTGAATCCTCTCACTCTCCACATCTCTGGCCTGTACCCCAGTTCCATATGAATAAATAAATAAATCTTAAAAAAAAATGCTGAGTTTAGGCAGTATTAAAGTTATAAGAGTAGTGATTGTGTGAAATTATCATATACTAAGTAATTTTTGGTATTTAATTTCATCAACAAATTATTTGACTTCAGCCATATTAGAAACTTCAATGAAGTCATTTTGGAATCTAGAATATAAGTTAAGGACAAGTAAATGCATTCTCAAAGAAATACTTTGTAGACAGCCTGGTTGGCCTGGGTCCTGGACTTACCACAGAGACCTGATGAGCAGAACTGAAAGTGGAAATGTCTCTGTCATGCAAGTGGCTGCCTGAATAAAAGGTGCGGCACTTTTGTTCCTTGGATTTTGTCCTGTTACTTCTTTGTTTATTTTATTCCCTTCATTTGGAAAAAAAAATTTCATTTAAGAACTTAAACCAGATGGCTACTATAACTCCCAGTTTGATGTCATATATCTCATTTATTCATCAATGAAACAATTTAAAATCTGATTATGCACACAAGGAGTCTGCCTCCATAATAAGTGTCCTAAGCACTTTCTGTGTCTCAGTCTAAATATCTCAATAAGTCATGCTTCTATTAATGACAATGATCCAGATTCAAAGTCCAGTTGCTTGGTTCTTGACTTAATGTACATAATAAAGTCTTTCAATAAAATGTGTAAGTAGACCTTTAAAGATTGCCATACTTTTGTGGGAAGTCAGCCAAACTAATCAAACTATTCAAGAATAATAATCTATAGCATGTTAATAGTAAGGCTCAAAGAAAAATAATAAAGAACCTCTTGCAAATTGTGGCACAATGAGATCAAATATGAGAAAAACATTTATGCTTTTTGAAATTTGTAACTCTGTGTTATACAGGAAACTAAATCAAACATACTGCCATCACCCTAAAGCACTGGATAATTTGACAGCTAACCTAAATTGCAAAAATCTCTCCATTATTACCAAATATCTCCTATGATTTCTGGGTTTATTCATATATTTTTTGCATACTGCTGAAGGGAGCAGCAGGCGGGTCAGGAGAGCAGCCACACCATGTGGATCACCTCAGGGGTGGGGATGAAACTCATGCTGAAGTGGCTTTAGCTTCTTAGTGCTGTGCTTTAACCTGCTGCGCTACCAGGGAGGTCCCTTATTCATATTTTGCAGCTGAAACTTTTGTACTTCTTGCAGACTCTCCTGGAAAACGTTTTTCCTTACACTTAGGGCAACAAGTTTCTTTTCATCATTTGGGTCTCTGAACAGATGCCTTTCTCTTGACGGGCTTTCTCTGAACATAAATGGCATCCCTCTGCTCATGTGATCTGCCCAGAGTCCTCATTGCTCTTTCTCCTGTTTACCTCTGGAAGGCACTTACCAGAATTTACTCAGTCATTTGACTCTAACTTGCTTTATTTCTATGCCAGGAGAGCCCATGGGGGAGAACACTACTAACTTGCTTGAGGGTGAAGGGACACGATGCCAGTGACAAACTGGGCCCTCACATCTCTCCACCAATACTTCACTCCCAACCCTCACTCAGATATGCGCCCCTGCCCCCCACAGCTTCAGGACCACACCTCCCTGTACCAACAACAATATCCTCACATAGAAGGTAATCTAATGTCTATGCCTTTAGGGGTTTTCCCTTTATTTGTTTGGGCACAAACAAATAAGCAATAGCTTACTCTTCAGGCTCAGACAAAGTTACACTTTTATGCTTTTCTGTTTGTTATTCCTTCATGTACCTTGTTCCCAAAGTACTACATGCAAAGAAATATGTAGGCATTTACATTGTTGTGTTAGTTTTCAACAGTTTACTCACCTGTCTCTCTCAAGTAACTCTGAGATTCTTGAGAAGAACATTTCTTATTTTCATCACTGTAACCCTAAAGCTTAGTAGGAATAAGTACTCTTGTGGAATAGGACTAAATGAATGCTCCTGCATTTCTTTTAACCACTGTGTACTCCACCACATTCAGAGAGCAAAGAACCTTGTCTATGAGACTTTCATGCATTTCATTTGAATGTACTAAAGGATGATGTATTTTAGTATGCTAAAATTCTAAGATGTGTGAATTTCATTATTAGGTGTATTTTGTCGAACTACTGGGACTTTGCAACTCTATGGATTCCATGCAGATATTTACGAGTTTTCTTGACGCCCCACCAACCTCAGATGAAAATGTCACTGTGACTGATACAACATTTAACAACATTCCTGTCCGTGTCTTTATGCCAAAGAGAAAGTCAGAAGCATTGAGAAGGGGTTTATTTTACATTCATGGTGGTGGCTGGTGTCTGGGAAGTGCTGGTAAGTGAATGATTTAAAAACATTTCTTATTATTGGGATACTGTGTAAAAATTTTACCAGCAGACAAAAGCTTTCTCTTTATTTAAATGACTCTAAGAGCATACTTTGCTCTACTTTCTTCTATGATACTAGAAAACTTTTATCTTCTCTACTCCACCTTGATTGATGAGAAAAGTATGTGTAGAAAGGGTTATTGAAACTTCAGTGAAGAATTAAATGCTGCTAGGAGAACAAAGAAATTGAAAGCAAAAGAGTGCAGCATCTAAGCAGAAGGAAAATGTTTACTTGCTAAAGATATTATCTTCTATTAAAATGGAATGAAGATCAACTGAGAGAATGTAGGTTGAATTGGATTTCATATTAAGAACACTGAACTCCAGAAAAGAAAAACAAAATTATTCCAAATAAGAAATGGCATAGCATTAAAAATTAGGCAACATTTGTTAATTGATATGAGGGAATATGAGCTGGAGAGGGAGAGAGGAGAAATGGATGGAAGGAAGGGATGTAGCAAAGAAGAGGAGAAGAATGAAGAGAAGAGGAAACATATTTTCTTATTTTGATAGAATGATACAGTGATGGAGAGGGTGAGGACAGATCTCTAAAGATATAGAATTAATTGTTTGATAGAGGAATAAGCATGAGTGAAATGATGAGAAATTACCAAGAAGGGAAATAAGTAAATAATATGGAAGCCGATGAAAGTGAGAGTTTCAAGAAAGAGTTATTAATAAAAAGTACTAAATGGTATAGAGATGTCAAATGAGTAAGGATGGAAGCATGTATCTTAAAAGCTTAATTCCTTTATTATTATTATTTAATATTATAGTTTATTTTTACATTTTGTGCCTTTTTCCATCTCAGTTGTAATCTCTGTGGACTTCCCATCACCAAATCACCCATGTGCCATCACCATAGGCTAGTGCTCTTCCCCCTACCCTCCGACATTTTTGATCCCATTCCCTACTCCACTCCATAAAATGTCTCTGGTATATAGTTGTTCATTATTATTATTTCCCCCCACCCCCACCCCCTGGTCCTTTATGCTCCACCTATGAGTGAAACCATCCAGTATTTTTCTTTTTCTTTCTGGCTTTTGAATGCTTTATTTTTATATTTATATTGTTGAGACCAATTTGATGGAATTTTTACATAGAACATTTCAGCAAGCAAAATGTGAAATTTGCAGAGGTGGTAAAATGATTATTGGTCTTAAAGGGCTTAGTTGTGAAAGGAATAAGCAAAAGAAGAGTAAATTGAAAGGAGAGTTAAGTAAGAGTACTTAATCTTAATACTTTCAATGTGGATAGTCATGACCAAGTTAGTAGAGCAAGAAAATAAAGGTAATTAGGAAAAATATGTTAGAAAAATAGATAGGCAGGAAGTACTTACTGATGGAAGAAATCTCAAAGGAAATCTGAGGGAAGAAATTTCAGAGTAATGGTAGAAGAATTGGAAATGGACAGGAAGTTTGGAGATAACTAAAAATAGCATAAGTCTTTCCCCCTAGACACTCATAATGAGGCAAAAACAGATGTCAGCTAGATAGAAGTTTAGGATAACAGTACTGATACAAGTAACAAGTGAAAGAGTTCCAGTGTGGTGTTTTAGGGGAGCTTCATCTGTCCCACTTGTTTTCAGATGTTTGTACATTTTCCCATGCACATTTAGGTGGTGCTCTATGGTACCACAATTCTTTCTGTCTTCTTGGCTCATTCAACTGACAGAGACCAGGTTAAGGGAATGACTTATCTTTTTATTGTTACTTATTACCTGAAACAAAGCCAAATCAATCTCTCTTTCAGCTAGGGAGTGCCAGTTATAGAATGTGTAGACAGAAGATCACAGTGGTGAAGGGTCATTAGGTGGTTCAGTGAGCTTTAAATGTTACTGAGTAGTGAATAAGTGTTTTTTTATGGATAAGTTCAACTTTAAAGTTGTCTCTCTTGAATTTTAAAGTAGAGCAGGTGGAGAATTATAAGAACATAAAAATAATAGGTTTTTATAAAGGAAAGATTTTGTTCTTCATTTGTCTGTTTTCATTAATATCCTATATTTATTCCATTATTTCAGCTTCACAGAATTATGATTTACTGTCAAGATGGACAGCAGACAGACTTGATGCTGTTGTTGTATCTACCAAGTAAGAAATGTGGTGTTTTGTTTTCAGATCAGTCTTTTTACCAGGATTCTCTCAGCTTTATTGGCTGTTGTGTGATTATGCCACAAATAAATGTTCATTAGATAAGATTGAGTAACTGATAAGATGGGGCCTCCATTAGGTCTATACCGTGTATGTGTGTGCGATTCAAGTAGGAGGAAATAGCTGAAAGTAAAGGATTTTTTTTCACATAATTTATAGATGTAGACATAATTATTTGAACTGGATATCCTCTCATTGTTTGAGTCCAAATCTTTAAGAATGAGTGCCTTAATTCAGAGGATTGTTTATAAAAGTGCATCATAAATAATTTTTATTTCTAGTTGTTATTGTGAGGACAAAGAGGTGAAATTCCTGAAATGGACTTTGTTTAATCTCTAATACCTAACTATTAATCTAAAAATTTAAATTCATTATTACATTGAATAAAGAAGGCCAATGAGCAGTATAAAGAATTTAGATCAATTATCTGAATTTGAAAATAACACTTTGGGACAATAAAGTTCAGGGTTAATTGTTAGGTCTCCCTCTGTCAGAACTATATATAACTAAACTTAAGCTTCAGAAAATGAAGGAAAACTTAGGAAATAACAGTCAATGACCATTTATCAAATGGTCTACTATAAAACTAGAACATAGTCATGCAGTAATTAAATTTTTTTAAAGAATTAGAAAATCCATTTTATACTAGTTTGCATTCCTATTTTATTTTTAAAGATGATTTTTTTAAGATGGCACGTCAAATGCTATTTTTAGAAACTTATGTTTGATTCGCTTAAATTAATAAGACTTTAAACAGACTTAAAAGATAAAACATACTCTTAAATTTTTTGCAAACATAAGCCTACCCTTTGGGTATGCTCTTATTTACATTAAAAGTCAATGACTCTATAAAAATTAGATGATTTCACTATGTTAAAGTGGCAAATAAGTACATGAAATGATGCCCAATATCATTATCATTCAAAATGAGATACTACAATGAGATACCATTTCATGTCCATTAGGATAACTATATGAAATATATACCTATCTCAACAAATGTTGGAAACAACATGGAGAAAGTAGAATCCACTCTATTGCTGGCGGGACTGAAAAATGGTGTAGCCATGTTAGAAAATATTTGGCATTTCCTCAAACATTAAAAACAGTTACCATCATTTCCACTCTGAAGTGTATATATACAAGGTAAATAAAAACATGTCCACACAAAAATTTGTAAGTTCATCATTCATAAAAGCTCTAAAGTAGAAAAAAATACAATGTTCATGGATTGATGGATAGATAAACAAAATATCCATACAATAGCACATTGAATGTTGTTTGTCAGGAAGAGGGGATCTCATTACATGGAAAAATCTTGAAAATATGCTAATTGAAAATAAACCAGTCACAAAGTCTCCCTATTTCATGATCCCTTTTCTATGTCCAAGGAAAGTGTATCTATAAAAATAGAAACTAGATTAGTAGTTGCCTTGTGCTGGGGTAGGTACAGGTGATAAAAGGAAATGATTTTTAATGTGTAGAGTTTATTCTTAGGATGATGAAAATATTCTAAAGTTGATTGTGATGATGTTTGTACCATTCCCTGTGCAATAAAAATTCACTTAATTGTGTGCTTTAATTAGGTGAACCTTACACTGTATGTAGTTATATTACAATTTATGAATTTATGTTTAGCAAAAGCGCTAATAGAAAATCCAAAATGTATGTGTGTATAGACACACATACATAATTTTTCTGTCATCTTAAATATATAGATACTGACCAGTTTATAGAAATACACAGAAAGAGAGAAAAAGACACTTTATAGAAAAGAACATGCAAATCATCAGTAAACAAATGAAAATTCTCTCTTCATGCATAACATTTAGTTTATGTCCACAAAAATATATGTGTGTGTGTGTTCATGAAACAACATGTCGTAGAACATTTATCACAAGCCCTCCCTGGTGTGGCAACCAGTTAAAAGCACAGTACTGTGAGGCAGTCTTAAGTTACTGCAGCATGAATTTCATACCAGCCAGGGAGATGACTACATGGCGCAGCAGACCTCTCCTGATGCCCACCTGCTCCCCTCAGCAGTGTATTTCAGTCATTCTGCCTGTTCTGCTCCCTGCTCTGCCTTTGGTGAAGCTTCTCACCCACCACACCTCTGGCCTGTACTCCAGTTCTTGTATGCATAAATAAATAAATCTTTTAAAAAAAGAACATCACAAAAACTGAAATGTCTCTCAACATTTTATGGATAAAGGAACTGTGGTCTTTTCACACCATGGAGTATTCTATGGGAAGACAGAAGCATGTGCAATGTGAAAGAAGCTCAGAAATATAATGTTGATCAATTAAAGCCAGAAACATAATGTTGGCTCTATGGTTGCATTTACTTAGGGTATAAAATAAGTAAAGTGAACCTATTGGGTTCTGTCAGTTCACTGGGCACTTCATGGGCTGGGAAAAGTATATAGAAGAGAGCGAAAGACAGGACTGTGTGGTACTGCCAATAGCAATGGTCTATTTCACGTTCCAGGCATTGGTTTTATGGTTGTGTTCATTTTGGAAACTCAAGGCGCTGTGTGCTGAAGATGTACTTCAGACATGGATATTAATCTTTAATAAAAGTAAAAATATAAATGACATAAAAATCATGTCTTTTCTTTACAGTTACAGATTAGCACCAAAATATCGTTTCCCAACTCAATTTGAAGATGTATATAATGCCCTAAGGTGGTTCCTACGCCCAAAAGTTCTTGCACAATATGGCGTGAACCCGGAAAGAATCGCTGTTTCTGGAGATAGTGCAGGAGGAAATTTAGCTGCCGCAGTAACCCAACAGGTATGTGCTCCTCATTTCCATGTTTAGAAGAAATCTCTTTATATAAGCAGGTCTAAAAGATGGCCTTTTTTGGCATTGTAGCTTAAATGTGTATAAATACATATATTAAAATGTAAACACAAATGTAAGGGTCTTAATAATTGGAAGAATTCAGAATAAATGCCTAAAATATCAAAATATTAATCTCTGTTCCTGTGATAGGTGTTTCATTTCTTAATAAAATAACAATTCTCCAGATATATAACTGATTTAAAATTTCAGTTAGATACTGCACAAGTCAGATGAGATTCAATACTTGGGAGATCAGATAATTGTGTATCACCCTACTAGTGGTCTAGATGGATTCAATAATCTTCGATAGGAAAGTTCCCTACTACAGAATAATCACACTAGTTTTAGAATATTATCAGCACATCATTGACTTTTATGGTGCATACACAGAGGTATAAGATATCAAAATATGCAGTCCCTTTGTATATAAGGTTGGATATTTTTATCTCTCATTAAGAATAATAAGCAGAATTTTTCATAAGAGATTACATGTAAAATATACTTTGCTTTCATGAATAGGGAATTAAAGTTGCTATTGATTGCTTGAAATATGAACTGTTTTCACATGGAAAGCTAATTTGACCTCTAGGTGTGCAACTTTGGGTTTTATTAGTTGACTTTAATTATAAAGTACAAATTGAAAACATTTTGTACTATTTAAAACAGTACTGCTTTTTGTTTCTTATATTTATAAATTTTTTACATTAAAAATATGTTTTGGCTCCTGGAGTCTAGTCTGTTGGACAATTTTCTCAGAAGTGAATAATGTGTTTGGGCTTGCTTCCAACCACAATGTAAGACAGAAGTTTTGAACTTTCCAGGCCACTGCGGGAATCATTGCTGTAGGTTTCTTAATATAGCAGGAAAAAAAAATTAAATCAGACATGAAGAAACTTGGATTTTGTTGAGATACAGTTTCTAGATGTGATCTTGGCTAGACTACTTAGCCTCTCTACTCACCCATTTCTGCATCTGCAGCAAAATGTTTTCTATAAAACTTACTAGGTTGTTTTTGAGAGTTACAGGAGTAAATTTGTATCTGGTAGCCTGTTATTATCTTTAAAATGCTCTCCAGTGTGTCCAGAATGCTTTACTTTGATCATTATAGTTATAATGTGAATAATATGATTTGCAAAAATTGTAGGGTATATGCAATAATACCTATACATTAATACAGATGTCACATTGTTGGAGCATAACGTACACTTTGAAACATAAGAAATTGTGTTTATATATGTTATCTAAAATATTTGGGAGAAGGTGGGCAAGGAAGAAATAGGGAGGGACACAATGGACTGTGATGCTTTGGTGGTGTGTGCAGTATGGTAGCAACACTTGAGGGGGGCATCTATCCTTTTAAAGTATAAACAACATCACAAACCAGTGCTGCCTCAATTGAATAATTAAAAGATATTTTCTAATATTCCATTCTAACTTATCAATGGAAGATTTTGCCCATTCTGATATTTGTGGTCTCCTTGCAGACCACTGATCTTAATAAATATTAGCATATTTGCCTGATATGGGAAAGAATGATTTTATTTAATAAAATGTTTCTTACAGAAAGTCTGCCCAAGTCACTTAAAATAGTATGTCAGAGTAAATCAGTAATCCCCATTAGTTGAAACTTTCAGTTCATGGTAAGATCTAGTGGTACACTAGTATATTTTTAAAAACATTCTTGTATTAAACAAAAGAGAAAAAAGGTCAAATTCATGCAATTTTTTTAGTTCTCATTCTTGGTATACTAATGTCTGTCCTTTACTCTTCTTGGACACTTTTTCTTAAGTTAAAATCTTAATTTTAATTAAACTTAGTTAAAATTAAAACAAAATAATACTAGTCATAGAAATTAGTTTGTATATTTGAAAGTTAGCCACTTAAAGTTTATTGAGATCATAAGTCAGTATATGGATTATTTTGTTCCTTTTATTTATTATTTAAAAATGAAATATTTTATGCCAGTAATCCTAATTATTTCTCAGCTCCTAGATGATCCAGATGTCAAGATCAAGCTCAAGATCCAGTCTTTAATTTATCCTGCCCTTCAGCCTCTTGATGTAGATTCACCATCATATAGAGAAAATTCAGAATTTCCTTTTCTGTCTAGATCACTTATGATCAGGTTCTGGAGTGAATATTTAACTGCAGATCCAGCCAGCCTTGAGAAAGCCATGCTTTCCAATCAGCATGTGCCCGCAGAATCTCATCATTTACTCAAGTTTGTTAATTGGAGTTCCTTGCTTCCTGAGAGGTATATCAAAGGAAATGTTTATAAGGATCCAACTTATGGTAGTTCTGAACTAGCAATGAAATATCCAGGGTTGTTGGATGTGCGGGTGGCCCCTCTTTTGGCTGATGACAAGAAGTTACATCGTTTACCTCTAACCTACATCATCACATGTCAATATGATGTCTTAAGAGATGATGGACTCATGTATGTCACCCGACTTCGTAATGCTGGAGTTCCTGTGACCCATAACCACATTGAGAATGGATTCCATGGAATATTTTCATTTCTGGAATTTAAAATTAGTGACAAGATTATAAATAATTATATTAGTTGGTTACATGAAAATTTATAGCAAAACATTTATGAATCCATATTTGAAGAACAAAGCAAATCTCAAGACATCAGAAGATATAACCTAATCATGCCTGTGGAAGCAGCTTATCAATGATAGAAAAAGTGCAGAAAAATTTACCCTGTAGGACATCCCTTCTGACACGGTGGAAGGCAACTTAGGATAGATTGTGTCTCAAGTTTGGGCAGAATTTGTGTTGACCATGAATTACTTGATATAATCCACTATGAAGACAGCAATGGGCAGTATCTAGATGGTTCAGAGCCATCAGAGATCAAGGTCCCTTCTGTCTTTATATATTTCACAATACTCAATTCCTGTTTATGGATCCATACTGGTAATTATTTTACTTAGAACATTACCTGGATAGTCTACCTAGGCAGAGATGGAACATGTCGAAATATGAATTACATTTGAGTTTATTTCATTTTGTCAGGAAGCTAGTTGCTATCCCAGAAGCTCCAACTAGTAGGATTTACAAATTTTATTTTCTAGAACAATGTCAAAAGAAATTTTGCAGATTGGAAATGTATTTTCTTTTGCTAAGGAAGAAGAAAAGAAACAATAAGTAGCAGAACCTGTTACAGACATTTATCACAGCAAACTGTTAAAAAATAACTGAGATAATTTTTTAAATAAAGAAAGATATAGAGCATATAGGTTAATACAATTAATCCCACTATATCCCACTATAATTAATTAATATAATTAATCATCACTGCACAATATACAAATAAAGTGAATATGTTGATTGGTTTGAAATAAATTCTTTCATTTACCTTTCCACATTGGTACTTGCTTTTTTTCATCTGACCACTCTTTAAGAGTAGGAGATAATGAAACAAATGGAAACAAACAAATGTCTTATTGATGAGACCTTTGTACTCAAACATCATCTATGATATTTTCATGAAGACAAATATTCTCTTTGACATTTAAATTCATAGGGTGATAAAGCAGACAAAGGGAGTGGACCAGAAAGTCAATTTGTGAAACTCACATTCTGAAAAGTTTTACTATATCTTGATATGGTGACAACACTTTTATACCTGCTTAAATTTTAGTGCAGTTGAATAGCATGATGGAATTTCTTAAGGGTGATTCTTTTGGGAACAGAACAAAAATGAAATTCCAATATCCCAGCAATTCTATATTCAATATTTCAAAAAAACAAAACAAAACATAGGACTACAAAAAATACTGGTGTAAGTATGTTCACTTTAGCTGTATTCACATCACTAAAAGAATGGGTTTGAGGAGGGGTGGGATTCTCTAATTTTTGTTTGTCTTTTCTGTCTCTTAAACTTCCATTATTGAATGGTAATACTTTCTTCAAGATATGGCCTTCCCTACTTTTCCTTATACCACCAAAGCTAGAGGGAATATAGGGACTTATTTATTGCTCCTAACTGATTACTGTATCTCCAGCCTTACTAAAGGATGAGCAAATTCAGTACTGTAGATGTCTGCTTTGTTCCCTATTTCTGTATAATCCTGGTAATGGCTTCATATATTATAGAATATTATGGGGGAAAAAAAGAAGTAAGAAAGGAGATAGAGGAGTTTTGATCTGTTGGAAGATGACATCAGAGGATGTCCTGGCACCACAGGGCCATTTAAGTCCTCAAGGCAATACATCAGCAGAGAGAGAGAATTTATCTCCAAAATCCATGCCATGACATGAGAAAACTTTCCAGAGTTCAAAGTGGCCATAATAAAGAATTAGAAGTAAATGCAGAGAAGCTGATCAAAAAAAAAAAAAAAAAAAAAACAAACAAAAAACAAACCTTGCAACAAACTCAACCATTATGATCCTTCCTCTTTGCAGTCAACTGCTGACCTTGGGTTTCTCCATATCGTGTCTCCACAGATTTTATCTTTGATCTTAATTTCAGTTTTTCCTGACAGCATTGATGACCTCAGTATTTATTTAAATGATGTTTCAGCACCCAGTACTCAGCCATTTGGCATGCCGCCCTCCAATAGTCCTGCTCTCTCCTTGAATCCAGCACTCCTATATTTATGCCTGGGCTGTGTCATGTCCAGGGTGCCACACTCAACAACCTTGCCCCTCCATAGTCTTAATGCCAAATACTAGCTTCCTCCCAGGTCCATTCAAATCACTACCAACTTCAATAATATTTGAAGCATAATGGAATTGAAAATGTATGGATAATGCCCACATTTCATACTTCCTTATATATCTCACATGTAATATCCCCTCGCCAAAAATATGTTCTGTGATCAGAGTAATCCCTCCCTTGTATAAGCCTTGTACTCCCTTCTTTCTCATAATCACAGCCCCAGCCTGAATCAATTTGTCTCCCTGCCTACTTTACAAGGCTGCTTGAGTAACTGTAGGTGGTTGAAGAAAAACAAAGATGCATAGTAAAATTTCTCACTTGAATTCAAAGCTACAAATTTCATGTATGCCCTTAGTGACTCCCTCAATTACACCATTGTCAAATGAATCATATGATCTTGTTAGCTCTATTTAAATTTGCTATAACTTTCTGTCATCCACAATATCAATCTTATTTTACTGATAAAACAAAAACAATTGGAAAAGAATGCCACAAGTTCTCACCCTACATTGACCAAAGCATAGATATCCTCACTCACATAGTCTATCTCACCTCTTATTTTTGGTGGGTGACATAAGCATTGCTCTCACACATAAATATTCTTTCCCTTTCTTTATGTACTGGGTATCATTCTCTTCTGGATTCTCAAGGGTGTACTCTAGCAGTTTTCACTTTTCAGTCCTGCATCATTAATTTTTCCCTCTCAACTGATCATTAACATATATATATAATTCTTTCCCATGGATCTTAAACAAAAAAACAACCTGATTTTCTTAACACCATCTTCCTCTTCAACTTTCTCCCAATTTTGCTTATTTCTTTTTATAACAATAATTTTGGTAAAAATTTTCTATACCAGCTATCTTTTCTTTCTCTCATTCTCTTCTCAAACATACACTCCGGACAGTCCTTCTTTCTTCAAGAACCTCCAAAATTGACTAGGTTAATGATGACCTCGGCATTGCTAAACTAAGGATCAAGTCTCAGCTCTCACCTTTCTTGACACCTTAGTCACTTCCTTTTTTGAAATACAGTCTCTACTTATGACCAGTAAATGCTTCTCAATTTCTTTCTACCTCTTCCGCTACTTGTTCTCAGTCTCACTCCTATCTTTGTTCTCTGATCTCTTTTCAGTAGGGTGCTGACAGTCTTTAAGCGCATACCATTTCTCTCTCTTCATTCTTTGCTCTGGTGATATCCCCTAGTCTTGTAGCTTTAACTGCTCTATATTCTGAGATCCTCAACTCACATCTCCAGTCTGTGCTTCCTCAACTCCAGATTATTTTCTATATAACTGACTACTTGAGAATTTTGAATGTTTGTAGACATCTTAAGATTGTTTTTTATTTGTCAGTCCTTTCCATACCTTTATAATTTGGGTACTACAATATCAAACCTCCATATATGCATGTGTTTTAATCATCCTCTATCAAACTTCCAGTACCATTATCTTATCATTTTCTGTCTTCAACCCCTCCACCCACTCTCATTTCCTCATGTCACAAATAAATTTTTCAAAGAGTCTATAAATTACTCTTGTTGAGCTTTGTTAGTTTGTTTTCTTTGGTTATTTAAACTCCACAAAACGAATGAAACTATCTGGTAACTGTCATTATATTCAGCCTAATGACCTCAGGATCTGTCCATTTTGTCCTAGTAGGCACTAGTTCATCATCTGTAATAATTGAATAGTATTGTACTAACTATATATTCCACAATTTCTTTATGTAGTCATCTGGCTTTGAATTTAGATTGGCTATATGTCTTGCTTATTATAATGTTGCTATGAATATAGGCATATATAAATATTTTAGTATTAATGTTTTAATTTTTTTTGGGAAATACATGCTACCTAAATGCTACCGCTGGATCATATGGTATTACCATTTTACTTTTTAAAGGAAAATCGCCATTCCATTTCTAAAGATGCTGCACCAAGTCACATTCCTACCAACAGCGAATGAATGTCCCATGTTCTCTACATCCTCACCAACATTTGTTATTTTCAGTTTTTTGATACAGGTCATTCTTACGGGTGTAGGGATTTATCATTGTTGTTTGATGCTGAACATTTTTTCATGTGTCTGTCATTCAGCTTTCCTCTTTGGAAAAGTGCTTATTTCAGTCTCTTGCCCTTTTTTTTTGGATGGATTGTTTGATTATATTGTTAAACAGTTACATATTTTGTTAGTTAACCCCTCATCTGATGTGAAGTGAGCAAATATCTTCTCCCAATCTGTAAGTTGCCTTTTCATTTTTGTGGTGGTTTCTTTCACTGTGCAAAGCTTTTCAGCTTGATACAGTACCATTTGCTTATTTCTGCGTTTGTTTCCCTTGTAGTTGGAGTGCATCCCCAAATACATTTTTTTGTGATTGCTGATGGGAATATATGTTTTCGTTTAAGTATTTTGTGGTTTCAGGTATACATCCAAATCTTAAACCCATTTTGAAGTAATTTTTGTTTATTAGATTTTGGAGTTTTTTTTTAACCCTGAAAGCCCTAATACCTAGCAAACACTAATTGTTTTCTATTTCTCTAATCTTATCATCTGAGAATGATGTACAAATGGAGTCATATAAATATGGAGGATAATTTTTTTTTAAGATTTATTTATCTATTCATACAGAACTGGGGTACAGGCCAGAGATGCGGAGGGTGATAGGATCCACCAGAGACAGAGCTGGGAGCAGAACAGACAGATCAAGGAAGCACACTGCTGAGGGGAGCAGTGGGCGGGCCAGGAGAGGTCTGCCATGCCATGTGGTCACCTCCGGGGCAG